GAGTAGTTTAAATTTTACTTCCTTTAAGTCATTATTTTTTCTTCTGAGACTATCTTTATGACTTTGCTAGTGGTAGTGACCTTTCCTAGTCCCTGTAAGAAGAAAGCTTGCAGTTGTAAAATAATGCCACTGAAATTTGTTAGCACTTTTCTGTGTGCCCTTTATAAGGTGAAAAGTGATTTTTCACAGTGATTTAAATACAGGAACTTTTTGAAAGTGAAGTTCTCATGTGAAGCTGCTTTTGATAACTTTCTTGTATCTTGTAGGGCAAAACTTACTGCTCCATTATATAATAATGAAGATGTGGCATATATTTTTGTGCAGAAATACTCATGTAGAGCAAAGTCATGTAGTTGATGAAGACTGTACTTACACAGGATGTATATGCCTTATTATTTGCTCTCTTTAAAATACTTCACCAGGTTAGGATTTTGCAGTGTTTTCAAGCTGCAAGTTATTTCTGTGTAGGGTGAGGTGATTTAGTAAGCGTAGCTTGGTTCAGTAGTCAGCAATTCAGTTTGTTAGAACACAGAAAATGCCTGGCTTCGTCTGAGCAGCTCAAAGATGGCGCAGTGCAATTTATGGTCTTAGCCTTAATTACACACTCATACTACTTGTCTGGTTGCCCAGTATGAAACAGGTTGTAGATGTGAGAAACTGGAGGTGTCTAATCCTATAGATGATTAGTTGAGTAACTCTCTCGTGGATGTTAGCACCCACGTCTTTTAATAGTGAGGTGGTGGGACCCAGAACAAAACCCTGGAGTAGTTCATATGAAATCAAAATTTTATTTTAATAACATTTCATTAAAGAAAAAGAGAATAAAACAGGGTTTCCAAAATCTAACACCATAGTAAAATAAGAGGACATAGCTAAAAAACCCCCACAGCATTACAGAAAGTACATAGTCCTTTTCTTCTTCCTGCTGTGAAATTAAATCAGTGGAACATAGTGCTTATGAGAAGAGACAAGTAATGAAGGCAGCTAATAATGTACAGCGGGTGGCAATTTGTTCTACCAGATTTAAAGTGTTACAGCAAAACTAATGAAGTAGCAAGTCTTCAATAGCCCATGTTAATTCAAGAAGCAAGGGTAACTAGTTAAAGTAATGCTAATCAACTAGTCCCTTCAAAATCTGTAGCTGTTTTTGTGTGTGTGCTGTCTGGATATTTTTCTTATAAGAAAGGGAGCTCAGATCAGGCCTAGGTTGTACTGCTTAAATACTTTTCAAGAAAAAGATTTGTCATCTGTGAGTGTTTAATCCATTATAGGTGTCTGTTTGGAAACTATTTAGGCTACTTTTGGCTGACTTTGACCAGCCTATGTGTGTTTGAAGAAACATTGACTAAACATTTAACATTATACAGGGCCATTTTGTGAGATTGACAGCAGATTTTTGCCTCCCCTGCTCCTCATCCCCGAGTCAGATAGTTGAGAGTGTTGGCTGATACATAACATCCTGGTCAGTGGGGTAACACGTGGGGTAACACGTGTTCGGAGACTGTGGCTTTGGGCAGCATGTGTGGTGTTAGAAAACGGTGCTAGTTTCTATATGAATGTGCTTAGGTGTGAGAGAAGCAGAGCACTGGTTGTCCAGGATTGAAGGTTCAGTGTCAGGGAATACTGCTACTTGATATCACTGTAGCTGTGTTTGCTATCTTTAAAAAGAAAAAAAAAGAAAAAAGGGTAATTATGTCTTTTTTTTTTTTGTTCTAAAGCAAGCCTGGGATGGTTGCAGTCTTTCTGTAGTTGTTAACAACAGTAATGTATATTCACCCTGTGCTCAAAAGTGTGCTAACATCAAGAAAGTAAGTCGAGACTGTCTAAATTGGAAGTAAGATGCAATAACAGGGGGGAGTCCGAGGCCACAGGGAAGAGGGCAGTACAGGGAAAGAATTGTGTATATGTTCAGTCCTGTGTACGGTACAAGAGTGAACAAGTGGTTATAGACATCTCCATGTGATTTTTAACTTGTTCGTATGTCGGGACATTTTGAGGGGAGAGGAGTGGGCAGCGAGGGCAGGAGAGAGTGATGGGAGGCAGGACGAGTAGTAAGAACTGGGGTTAGGAAGGGGCAGGAGAGAGGAAAGGCGCTGGCTGAGGTTGGGCAGAGGATGAGGAAGAGGGAATGGAGGTGGGAAGGAATGGACCGGTGGCATTTTAGGACAGTGAGAAAAAAGCTGGCAGTGGTGAGCAAAGTGTGTATGTGCCCTGGATAGCAAGGCTGTGCAGGTTTTAGGTGGGTGCAGTGGGGCTGCCAGTGTGGCCTTCCTGCCCCTCCAGCTGGGGAGGGGCTGTGCCGGGGCCGCGTGGCTGCTGGCACCCGTGGCACAGCTGGCCTGGTCTCTGCTATTTTCTGCCCTTCTCTGAGGGCCATGCAGTGGCACCAGCACAAGTTTCTGTGCTTTCTTTTTATCTTCTGTTGTTATAGCTGGGGAAGAGAAATAATATCCAACAGTGTTATGTATAGTTTCTGCTACAGTGCAGAAGTGAATGCGACGTTCTTGTGACCGGCAACCCAGCAGCTGGATGCAAGAGGACTAAAAATGTGTCAAACATTTTGAGTGCTAAATTCATACAAGATTTTCTTGACCACCTCCTGGATTATTTTTTGGTGGAATTGGGATATACAACACAATCGACTTGAAATACATGTGAAGTCTGGTACATGGAGCGGGAAGGGGTAGATACACTGAACAGAGACTGTGTGCAGTGCGTTCCTTGTGTGTCAGGCAGCACCTATTGAGAGACAGGACTCTGCTTTGTGCAGGTGTCAGCAGGCGAATTTCTCTGTGCTTTGATAACATGCTCCTAACAAAAGTTATGGGGATTTTGCTTTTTTGTCTTTGCATTTTCATCTTCAGCTGGTGTTATGGTGAGCTGCTGGCGAGCAGCAGAAGGGTGGTAGATTCTCCATTAGAGCTTTCTCTTGTCCTCTCCCACAGATACGTGCAGCACTCTGATGTAAACCAGCCCCAATTTTGTCTCTTTCAGTCACAGAAACTGTTGTTTATAGATGGAGGTTAATCCCATTTAAGAACGGGATTAGCAAAGACGTAGTCATTTAACCACAGATGGCTAAACTTGGGTTGAGGCAGTTCTCAGATAGTCCTGGCTGGGATTAATGCTCTGCAGACATTCTGGATCAAGACAGTTTCATGGCAGGCCATGCACCACTGAGGTGTAAATCTAACGGAGCTCACCAGGACAGCAGTTGTATGCTTGGCCTGCTAAATGACTGTGGGTTTTGTAGAAACAAAGGCGAGTAAAAGATCTTCGTGTGTTGCGTGAACCTAACTTCCTCAGAGAAGTGAATTATAAAGATAACACAGAAGATAGCTGTGCTTTCCTGTCTTTGGTTAGCTTAATACGGAGCGAGTGTGGTGTGCTGGTAATTACTGCAGAATTTCCCCAGGCACTAGCAAGACCTGTTCATTTTAAGGATAACAGGCTTGGGGTTGCTGGTTGGATTGGCACTTTTGCTTTTATCCCTCTTCTCTGAACTTCCTTAAAGGTACTTATCTCTTTAGGGACATATCGATAAAGGCATGTTAGCAAATCCTGGAGCCTGAGCTTTGCAGGAGCGAATGTAGGAAGAAAGATGAGGATCAGCCTGAGCTTTGAGGGAGTGGGACAGGGGATTCCCTACTCACTGAATAAAGATATTATCTGCTTCAGATATTATGTGCTTCGGGCAGTGGTGTGACAAATGCACCTACCTCAAGCACAGTCCCCATTCAGTTCCGTTAAAAATCTTCCTTGAGGCAGGGCAGCAGAGACAGATTCCAAAATAATCGTATCATGTTTTAAAAACAAAACAAAATCCACAAAAACCACCAGAAGCAACTGATCAGGTCAAACAAATGTGGCTATCAAGATAACAAGCTTTTTAAGATTAACAATGCTTAAAGTTGTAGGATGAAGCGAGAACAATCCAAAATAAGGGTTTTGCTTGGAGTTCCTCCCCCCCCCACACACACACAAAGTAGATACTTCTCAGAAATAAAAGATGGAAAGCAGCAGTGCTATCAGGAGCTGTTTAGTAATAGTTAAAATGCAGAAGTTGCACCTAGAACTGCTTTCAAAGTAATGCATAAAGTATGTTGTTAATGACTGTGTAGAAATCTGCACAGGCATGATGCACATTTTCCATTGGGAACTTTTGAAGTCTGTTTATGCTCAGCTCCTAAAGGTGCATTTATGCAACGTAGGGCAAGGCTGTATTTGAAACCTCAAATAATCCTTTTTTTTTTTTTTTTTTTTTAAAAAAATTACATAAACTGTGGGCATGCTCCCTTGGTTTTGGTTTCAGAAATTTAAACCAAGACTACTACTTTGTTAGATAAAAGCAAAACTTAACTAAAAAGGACAATGAAAACAGCGATTGAAAACATACTTTCATTTGAGTGAGAAAGTTAGCACTCGAGGGAATTGGATTGTGTTTGCTTCAGGGCTTTTGATGGGCAATGCTCTGCTTGGCAAGCATTTTGCTTCAAGTGCATTTTTGTATGACTTTTCTGATTGAGAGCTTCAGAAAATAAACTGTAGAGAAGGGAGTAAGCAAAACTCAGAGACACAGAAGAAAAGTATCAAGTCCCAGCTTGAGAGATCTAATCACTCTTGAAACATCTCAAAATGTGTCAACCATATTTAGAAACAGCTACATTAAAAAAGAAGAAAGCTTCATCCTTTTAACAGTGTAAATCATGGAAAGCAGTGAAAACTAATATTTATGAGGGGGATTGTGAAAGCTTGTGTGACAGTTGGAAATTACATCACTGTTGATGTTTCAAATTCTTGTGTAAAGTAATGCAATACCGTGTTTATGAATGAATGAACAAATGATTGTGCTGTGCTAAGCATATTCTATATGGATAAACTGGGTTGAGCTATTTTATCTCTCTTGTCTTCGCTTATGTTACTTTGCAGTATAGTCCCATATGTTTCAATGTAAATATAGAAAACTCAATTCAGTGTATGTATTTTTTATTCCAGATACAGACCCACGTGTATTAGAGAAACAAGAACTTCAGCAGCCAACCTATGTTGCTTTAAGTTACATTAACAGGTAAGCGTGGTTATTTTTCAAGTATAAATGATCTTGGTTTGCACAATATGTATATATATGCATATGCCAAAATGGTATGCTTATGTATGCATTCTGTTTTGTTTCATGTTATATGACAGTATGGTAACACCTGTTCTGGAAAGACAGTTGAATTAAAATTTAACTAAATTTTTAATCACTTTTAGCCCTTCAGCTGCACTGCTGAAATACTTAGGGGATGAGGTTTTAGCCTTTTATGTTTAAGCTAAATCTTGTACAAAACAAGATAATTTGTCTTTGCTTAATTTTCTACTTTCTTGTACTCCACACGAGTGAGTGGAGAAAGAAATCTTTTTTTTCAATCAAAAGTGACTATTATCAACTGATAATAGTCCAATATGTAAGAGAATTTTTTACAGTACTTCGGAAGTTTTTCATCCACGGTGTATATCTTTAAAAATCTTGCTTACCAGCCCTATATAACCTAAAACTGGAAAAATTTAAGAAATTAAACCAATTTTTAAAGCATTTATCTAAATAACAGAGCCTTGGCTTTTCAGTTACTGACTGATGGCAGAACTGAAACCTCCAGAGTACTCCAGCTTGGAGGAATAGAAGGGTTGCTCATGTCTCAGGCTGTGATATGGTAAAGAGCAGCCTGAGAGCTGCTCCTTATTTTCTCTCTCACCTAAGCACATCGCAGAATTCAATGGAGGTAGCTCAGATTACTTTCCCTCTGAGAGGAGAGTGACCCATGGAGCATGCTGCATGGAAGGGAAAGATGGAGAGATTTTGTGCAGTTGCAGTGCCCCTTTTTCAGTATGTTTGCCAAACTGTCTTCTAATCCTAAATGAACACTGTAAAGGAAGCGTAATTCCTCATATAAAACCCCTTTTTCCTGTTCTAGTTAAATCAACATGCTGCTGTTCTGGGATTATTTTGCTGCCTTTTACATCATACTGGTTTTTTGATCAGGTGTACTGTGGTTGAAAGTTCTAGTTAGTTGCATTTTGGAAATGCCTTTCTCAGAAAATATTCTGTATAGGATTATTAGCTTTTATACATGGGACACCGGTTTCCTTTTGTATCTTTGCTGTCTAGAGGGTGAGATATAACTCACAAGTCTGGAAGATTAACCCAAAATTTAATTCAGTATAGATTGACTTGATTCAAACTCTCATGGGTCATACATAATGCAAAATTTTTCTTTCTTGCTCTTACTTCATGTTAAAAATGAAAAAACAAAATGAAACAAGCTTTTTCAAACACAGAATCCACCATTTGGCTTTGTATAGTATTTCCTGCA